TGGTACTATTGTGCCTACTTTTCCATCATAGGTATAAATTCGCCTTGGGTCAAGCCGACATTTTTTGTGATTTTTCCCATTTCATATTTCTCGATTAATGATCGATTAATCAAAAGGAATATCAGAGAACGTAAATTAAATTTTACGTTCTATGTGAAAACGACGAAATGAGTAACAAAACAAAAATAATTTTCACTAAATTTTATAAACAAAGTGCTAGTTCTACAAAATAAAACACCCGAGAAAGTCATTTGTTCTGCGACGTAGTATTGTTCTTAATAAACTGGAACTTTAAAAATACAGTCAAAGCCAGCGTGCAGATAGTCGGAATATACAATAAACTAATCACAATTATATAGAAACAATATTGAGAAAGATTAAATTTATTAAATCATATATTGCGACCCATGTGGAGGTGAATTAAAGCAAACGAGTATCCCTGGAAGTGACTAAGAAAAGTATACACCCGTTTCTCGAATAAAGGGTTGGAAAATTGCACTCGGTTAGATTTTAGTACACGCATCATTGGAAAAGCTTCAAGATGGTTGAACCCATTTTCGACTATCAATTTCGTCTAATTCTTATTGGCGACAGTACGGTGGGCAAGAGTTCGCTCCTCAAATTTTTTACAGATGGCAAATTTGCAGAGGTAATTGTCCTTCCATAACAATAAAAATAAACTAAAAGCGCAAAAACAAAAAAACATGTAACTTACATAATTTAATCAGAGACAATGATGCGAGAAATTATTACATGGTTAATGATAGCGCAGAATAATTGAACCTACTGGGCTGATAAGCCATATGCAATATGTACTTATGCATGCATGCATATATGTATAAGTATGTGAAGTTGCTCCTATAATTTTTAATTATTGTGTTTCCCCATTGTTCACTTTTTCTGTATATTGCATACATACATACATACATATGTATATATAAATATTTATATGTATTTATGCTGTTTTCATTGTCTATCTTGCAGCTATCGGACCCTACCGTAGGAGTGGATTTTTTTGCCCGCTTAATAGAAATGAAGGATGGTACGCAGATAAAGCTCCAACTATGGGATACGGCTGGCCAGGAACGCTTTCGATCAATTACCAAATCGTACTATCGAAACTCTGTTGGAGTATTGTTAGTATATGACATCACTAACTATGCTAGCTTTGAACATATTCCGCTTTGGATGATGGAGGCTCAACGTCACATTGAACCACATCGACCTGTTTTTGCGTTAGTTGGTTGCAAGCTAGATCTTGTTAATGCAGGCGGCCGGCGTGAAGTAGGCACTGATGAGGCACAGGCTTTTGCAAAGCAACATGGCCTACATTTTGTTGAGACTTCAGCCAGAAATGGCGTTAACGTGGAAGAAGCCTTTCGTATGGTGACACAGGAGGTGTATGCACGAATACGATCAGGCGAATACAAAGTCGAAGATGGTTGGGATGGTATAAAAACTGGATTTGCCAGACCAAATAGTTTAGATTTTAATTTGGTTATGGCAGAACCTGAAAAGTCATCTTGTTGTTGATGTGATTGTATTCGATGGGTTTCTCCTGTTGGGGAATGGTATAAATATTACGTTTTCAAGATTACAGAAGACTTAATTTTATTTTAAATGAAGGTTGAAATTTTTTTGGAATTATTTTATATAGAACATACATATACATACTCAGGCAGGTTCTGCAAATCACTTCTGTGGGAATTTCAACACCATAAAATTTGAATTCACAGTGACTTTGTTTGAATTCACTCGGAAATCAATTGCGGAACCTAGCCTGATACTAAATACATATATGCTTTTTTATATGACAATTCGGCATAGATATAAAGATCTGCGCATTTACATATGCACTGTTTTATGGTTGAGGCGATAAAATGACAGGCTGCAATTTTTAATAAAAAGTTTGAGGACCGTTTTCTAAAGCAGGGTTTAAAATTTACCTACCCTTTAAACACAGATTCTGTTCTGAAAAAATGTGTTTAAAGGCCATATAAAATTTAAAACCTTAGAAAACGGCCCTATGTTTACTAAAATACTTTTATTTGATATAGGATACAAAAACTGAATGCGAAACTAATAATCCTATTATAACCAAATAAATAAACCAAAAACGAAAGTAAATAAATGGTCAAATTAAGAAAAAATATTTATATGTATGCATATTTGTTTTAACCAGATTAAACTTTTGCAGTATATTAACGTCCTATGGTAAATTTTTGGTAGTATTTAAGCGTTTTAGTTAAAATAAACTTTACTTTTTTAAAAAAAAGCTTTTACTATAACTTTACCTTATCTTTTGTCTTAAAAATAATCCATTAATAAATTTATGTTACGTTGGATGACATTACATATGTACAAGTAGTAACAAATACTTCCCTTCTTTTGCTTTATCGTAAAATGTATGTATGTATATTAGCGTATTTATTTAAAACAAATTTTACCAAATAAAATAATTAAAATAATCCACTATATTTGATAACTCATCAATCAACAAATATCCATAAACTGTATCGCCAAGTAGTACAACTTTTTCGTATTAGGATATTAAAACAAATTTATAGATTTCCAAACGAAGGAAACTAGTAATCCCTAAATTGTACGACTCGACAACATTGGCATTGTCTACTGTCGTGCTGAAATAAAAGTTCAGTTAGTCTAGACTTAATTTCCGTAACTTAACTCAATATTTCGGCCAACCTGTAATATGAGAAACTGTGTTGGCGGTAAGTTAAAACTTAACTTACCGTAAGAAACTTGAGAACCTGTAGGTTTTAAGCTGAAATTAGTCAACAACGTAAACCTACCGTTAGGTAAACCCGTGTCAGCTGACACGACCTGTCACCAAAGCGCCATGTAAATGAAAACTCAACACCGCAGGATTTTTCTGTTGTTGTTGTTGTAGCAGCATACAAAGACTTTTTGGGGAGTGTTGCTGGAGTGACAGTCCTTGGCCAGATATAAATCTGGGTCGTTCCGGTTACGTAGACCCGACTGTCGTGGGAACGCAGGATTTTTCTGTAATTGTAGCCCGTAGCTCAGAAATCTGCGGAAATCAGATTTTTCCGTGTCAGCAGATGGTAAAAAAGGTATAAGTTCCTATACAAAATATGTTTAAAATATTTGAAATTTTCTATTGAATAAGGTTTTTTGTTGAAAAATAAGTAGTTTATATTTAGCTACGATCTATTATGGCACGAAAAATTGTAGTTAAAAAGGCAAGTTTATAAAAAGGCATTGATGAGTGGCAACAGTGTAGTAAGCAACACTGAGGGCTCCAGTAATCGACAAAATTCTGCGTATACAGACTGCGTTTAAGTATACGTTCTGCGTTCTTGACTATTTTCAGCTTAAGTTACGGCCTTACGGAAATTGAGAGCGGTGAGAGAATTAGGCTTGCCAGACTTTCGTTGTTGTAATTCATAAAAATAAATATGTATAATATCTATTTGCTTGCATGAATTTTTTTGATGTGGCATTTTAGGCGGCAAACTGCTAAAGAGCTGAAAAAGAAAATACAAAAAAAAAAATTCCTCCTTCTGGCTTAAGTTGACGTGTTGAGTAATCATTGATGATTTCTTACGGGAAGTTAAATTAAGTTAAGTCTAGACTAACTGAGCTTTAAGTAAACGACGAAAATCAGGTTCTTTCCCGTACGCAACGCGGGATCCCGCGAATATCGATATTTCATGGCACGATAATCGAATTTTGAATCGATATTCCAAGGTCGACATGTCGAAGACATCGATACTTTACCCGCAATATCGATATTAAAGGTGAAATTTATTTTTCATCTACTAAAAAGTGTATGGGAAAATACTAAAGTAGGTTTAATCAGCAGCTTGTGTGATTTATTTAGCTCTTAAGTTTGACAAACCGCTGGAGTCGTTCGGCATGCCGTTTTAATCCTCAATAAATATGCAAATTGGAAATAACACAATTAGGTGAGTTGATAGGCAGGTTTAATATTCTATTCAATTGGGAGTCGAATTTTTAACATCGATTTTTTCGATATAGATATTGTTCAGCCCGATATATCGCCATATCGGTTTTACATGGAATGAAATAAATCGATTCATGATATCGATACTTTCTTAAATATCGAACATTCCTATCACCAAGGCGAATTTATACAAGGTGGTGTTGTCCAATCTACTGATTTCTTCTTCTTTCCTTCGCATTACATGTATTTTATTTTTCCTTTTACTGATTTGACAGCATGCCCATGAATAGCAAAAACAAAATACATATAAACTTTGAGGCGAATTGAGATTTGATATTTTGACCCTGATACAAAATACACGTGGTTGTCGTTTGTTGTATTCTTGCTACCACCTTGTATAAATTCGCCTTGGTTTACACCGGATAATATTGTCAAGACAATTATGTCAAAATGATGTGTTTTTGTAATATGAATTCGCCGTGTTTACTACAAACACATCATTTTGACATAATTGGACTGGCAGTATTGTCTGGTGTAAACCAAGGCGAATTTATACAAGGTGGTGTTTCAAAACGCGACTTGCAGCCTTCTTTGCTTTGTTTCACTGATAATTTGGAAGTCTCGTTTGGTAGCACTGACAAATTAATGTATACACAAACAGATACTCTACCAATGTTTCTTTTAACTTGTTTCAAATAAATCGCCTTAATGTTAAATGTTTATTTAAGTGAATATTATTTCGTTTAAATATACTTTTCCCCATTTAGTGGGGTCCTTTTTATAATATCGTCTTCTTCGTGCTACTAATATAAAATTAGTGCTGCTAAACTCAATAAGAATGATCCAAATCGTTTCCGCAAGAAATGATCGTGATCCAGAGCTGGATAACCCAAGAAAACAAAACCTTTACTCGATTCCAAAAAATATCGTTTGAAAGCTGTCAAGTAAAACGTATCGGTATCAAAATGCAAAAATATCGATGGGTATCGTGTCGTATCGAAATTCGTGTCCCTATTCACTTGTCGGGCGAAAGTTAATCCAGATTTTTGAGAAAATTGTTTCTATTTGTTTTAATTTAATTTAATACATGAAATCAAATGTGGCAATTAAAATAAATTTTGGACTTCACAAGAATGAAATAATAACAAAAGTAAATTGTTGCCATGAGGAAAACGGAATAAACTGCTTTTATAAAGTGAAAAATCAATCATAAAAAAGTAAAGATTGTCGACATCATCAAATGTGTGAATGTAATTTGCCATTGAAAATAAAACAAAAGCCAAAATTGTTATAAATCAGCATAGTATCCAAATTATCAAAGGATACTGAACATCTCGGATAAATAGGCAAAAGTTTTTGTCGCATTGTTAAATTTGAGTGGAAAAGGTGCTGCATACAAAATGGCTTTGAAAAAGGTAAAAGGAAATTTCGAGCGTATGTTTGACAAGAACCTTACGGATTTGGTGCGTGGCATAAGGAATAATAAGGATAACGAGGTAAGTTCCAACGCAGCATAGATAGAATTATGATGAGATCTGTTTAGTAGAATGCGTTAGTAAGGTTATATCAAGGAAACTACATAAACGGTGTTCACATGAGGCAATTTTGGAGGCGATTAGTTGGATCAATAGTTGGCTGCCCCCCCAACTTCATTGGAAGCGATTAGTTGAAAGACCGTTCACACCAGGCGATTGTTGCGTTCAACTAAAAGTTGCCTGTAAAATCGCCTCATGTGAACACCGTATTAGTATACGCTTCCACGGCAATCGGGCCCACGTTACCGGAACAACCTAGGCTCATCTGACCAAGGACTGTCAATCCGAGATCATTTACCATTAGGAAAATTTGTATGCTGTTACAACAGCTCGTTTTCAATCCCCTAAGCTCCAATTCTCGCGACTTTTACAAAATATGGGGTTGTTTTAATTGGTGAAATTTGGTGCCGTTAGTTAAAATTAAAGATATAATTATTATTATTATTATTATTATTATTATTATTATTATTATTATTATTAT